CCTTCATAAACCTGACCATCATCGGCGGCGCACCCGCAGTGAAGTGATCCAGAATGCCCTCCCAGTAAGCATTCACATCCGTCCCCTCATCAAGCACGACATCAAACTCCGCCACGACCCTCCCAATCACACTTCTCAACTCCATCAACGACAGAGCCTTCCCAGCACAGCTATGCGAACCTGTTGAGAAAGGAATGAACGCCTGCCTGTTCAGTACCAACTCCGGCTTCGTAGTCCAGCGCTCAGGTATGAACTGATCAGGTGCAACAAAGTTTCTCGCGTCGCGCAACAGCGGGAAGATAGGGATATGTACTATCATGTTTCCTGGGATGAAGTGCCCGTTTATCTCCATACCTTGTGGCGGCGTGATGCGTTGGGAGCCGAAGAAGACGGAGGGCCACATGCGCATCGATTCTTGGATACAAGCTTCTAGCATTGGCATGGGCCGCTGGCAGTCGTAGGTGTTGATGTTGGAGAGGAACTCGGCGCGGACGGCGGCCGTGTAGTGTGGGTGTGTGGCGAGATGCATGAAGAGGAAGGTTAGGGCCGTGGACGTGGTCTCGCTGCCAGCGGAGATTATGAGGCGTGATTCGCCGTAGAGAAGTTCGCGACCTTCAGGTGTTTTGGGCGTGGAGGTGATGAGATGAGAGATTAGGTCCGGCTTCGCATCTCGGACCTAAAGGAGGTTGTTAGCAATGGCTTCGATCGAGATGTAGGGCAGGAATATGTACCTGCATGCGCGCTTTCATCTGGCTGACGCTCCAGTCTCGCCATTCCTTCATGGGTCCGGCAAATGAAGTAAGAACACCAACTGTGTTCATTAGCCACGGCATCAGATACATGTATCCCAAAGCCTGGACGCTGCCCATCATAGTAGCGAGAATACTCGCAGCGACGTCGCTTTGTTCGCCTTTGATGAAGCCCATGGGCTTGCCAAAGGCCAGCGCTGCCATGACGTCGTAGCTATAGTAGCTTGCATAGACAAGCAGCGGAATCGACCTCCCCTCTTCATTGCGCAATCTTTTGAGTAGTTGGTCTGTGAAGTTCTCGACTTGGGGGGCGTAGTCAGAAAGCGATGCCTTCATCGCATTGTCCCAGATCCTGCGGCGCTGGCGGTGGAACGCCTTGTCGCGATTGAGGTGCAACGACTTTTCCATGACGTCAAAGAACGGTCCTTTTGACGTCTGTGACTGAGCTCCGAGGATTGGTTGGATCGCAGCTGTATCGAAAATCGTGAGCTCACGTGGCCCTGACGGTGTTAGCACTGGATGTGGAAGGAAGTACACGGGTTGGACAGACCCGTCCTAACATAATCGCCGTATTGGCCTTGCAGCCGCTGAAGGACTCGATGGTAATGCAAGCTGCTGTCATATGTCTGCTTGACGGCCCACCATCTCGATAGTTTCGCAGCCCAAGGTCCAGGGTAGTCGTTGAGTGGATGAAAGAAGGCACGGTACGCTCCGATGTACAGCCATAGTGGAACCCAGAAGGAACTCGTCACCAGTGTCGCGGCGATGAATCCAGTGTAATATGATAGAACCCAGTATGCGGTAATCGCTAGGCCAAGGATCTGAAGGGTCAAATGGTCGACTTCCACTCGTCGCAAAATGAACTCGTGCAGGATGACCGCCGATAAAGGTGCGAGCACAAAAACAGCGGTAGGAACCGAGCCCATGGTTTCTTGTGGATGGCACCGGGATCTTGTTTGGGGTTGCTAAAGTTCAGTGTATAGAGTGCTAGGGCGCGGTGGCCGAGGGCTATTTCTCGGTTGCTGTCAAGTGAAGGCGACCGCCACATACCACAACCCCTTGAATAAGTGAGCCCTGGGAGTCAGTATCGCACCTTTGTGATTTCAGTGTGTGTTGTTTTTATCGGGAGTACAAAACGTGGAAGGTTTGCATGTGCGACGCGTTTGCTCGGAAGCCCAGAGTCACACGTGGAGACTGGTACGAGAACGCGATCGGCAGCCCCGGGTTATGAAGTGGGACATGGCCAGGTCTCTGTTCATCCTTCTTACCGTAGATTGCGACTGCAGCTGGTGCTCCGCAACAGGAATCTTGCCGCATAGTAATTAGTGTGCAAGGGTCAGCATTGGATTACTAGGTTTTGTTGCACACTATCGTACATAGCCGACTAGCGTCTCGGTGCGAACTCACGTCTAGTTAGTCTTCCAACGTGTCGATATCGTGGAGTTCTCTAGCGGACCAAAGCCGTTTAGTCGTCTGCGAAAGGAAGCATGTGGTGTAGCCTCAATTCTCCGAGCGCCGCATTATTGGATGCGGTTGCGCCGTAACGCGACGTGTGTGACTTTGATGCGCAGATCAGACTTGGTGCTGCTGAGTGGCGCTTATCCTGTTCAAAGACGGCCTGGAAAAATGTAAGCATGTACATAAGTGTCTGCTAGGCGAGGTGGCGGCAGGGCTACATTCGCTTAGAGCGCATAGGCTGAATGGGAGAACAGGACATGGTTCCTCATTCCATGATTTCATGGATATCTTATCTGGTATTCGATTCGAGCCTCCAACCGAGCAATTTCGGGAGATGCGCATATCCATGAGCGTTGCCGAGAATGCGCCAGCATCTTACGGTTTCACTGTTGAACGGCAAGGTTGTACGGAAAGGATCTTGCGTGTACCCCCGTCTTAAGATCGCTGGCACCTGGCAAGGTAACTCAGGCTGCGTGTAAGATAAGTTCGATGCATGTCCGGGAGAAAACCCAAGGTCCTAGCGATCACGCCTTCCCTTCAAAGTTCCGACTCCTTCTGTGAATCCAAGAAATTCTCCGGCTGTGATGACCGCAATTACGACCATGTCGGGCGTTCTGGATGCGCCACCTGGCGTTGAGGCAGACTTCAGTGGTGAACGGTCGGATCTTCAGAAGAGAATCGTCGTGGTATATGCAGTCATGACGATACTTTCCACCTTCGTGCTCGGATTGCGATTGTATACGCGCATATTCATCCGCCGTATGACCGGCTTGGACGATGCGCTGGTGGTACTCAGCTGGTGCGGCTGCGTCGCATGGATGGTCATCTGTTTCCGAAGTGAGTCTGCCCCTCTGCTTACTCTGAGTACGCAACTGACCTCGAATGTAGCGTTCCAGTATGGCTTCGGTCAACACATGTGGAATGTGACTATACAGCAAATGTTGGGCTATACGAAGATGCTCGTCGGTATCATGGTGGTGTATGTCTGGACTCCAGCTCTAGCTAAACTCTCGTTATTAGCTCTGTACTACCGACTCAATCCAGATCAGAAAGTCCAAGCAGCCATCTACGCATTGGCAGTCCTGGTCACTGGATACTCCGTGGCCATCACCATAGTCGCCGCCGGACCCTGCAATCCGCGGACCCATACAGACCAGAAGTGCCTTACAGACCTCAACCTGTTTATGGCCTGTATAAACATAATCACAGACTTCTTGATCCTGTGCCTGCCGATACCGATGTTGCGCGCCCTGCAACTACCTGTTAAACAAAAGATATTACTGGGCTTCGTGTTCGCTCTGGGATCTGGGTAAGTTGCCTCGGGTAATGCGCCATCTGGCGTTCTGTGCTGACAGTCTTCGTAGTGTCGTCGTCATATCAACCGTCCGCATCATCTACGTCTACAGTATGATTAGCGATCCCGACGCAACTTACAACGTGGCCAAGGCATGCATCTTCTCCACGGTCGAGCTCAACGGCGGAGTCATTTGCGCATGCGTTGCGCTATTGAAGCCTTTCATACAGAAGTACATGCCCTGGATACTGGCCCTTTCGAGTGGAAGCGGAAGCGGAGATGGATCCAGGATTCGCAAGTTGAAGATGTTTGTGAAACGGAGCGGGGAGAAGAGTTATGAACTACAAAGTGCAGACGCAGATACAGATGCGACTAAGCATGCTGATGATAGGCCGGATCATCGTATTGCCGTCACCAAGTCATACAGCGTTCAAGGCTCGAAGACTGGGAAAAGTGATGGTGACAGCATGGAAGACCTTTTCGCGCCTAATGCGGGCTGGAATGGTGGTCGGTAGCCGTCGCCCGTAGAATCGAATCGGTCGGGAATGTGATCGCGAGGACGTGTAAGGAGATTGAAGGGATTGCTTCGAACGGGAGTTCCTGATGATCACGCCGTCGCGGGCTTGGCACAAGCCCGATGGAAGGGACCACCCGTAGAAGGACCAGTACCTAGATAGCTGCAATACGACACCGGTGTTCAATCTTGGTTTTGAAGGTAGCTGAGGGTATCTAAAATGCGCATTGAAAGAAGTGGATATCGATAACGGCGTCGCTCTAACCCATCTGCATCTTCTCATCGTCCTGACGTGGCTCGCTCGAAGAAATGGAAAGCCCCTCCATAGCAACCTTAGCCATATACTCATCCACCATCAACTTGATATTACGATATTGAGTGCTGTTTGGGCCGAATGTCGCGAGCGCATTGCGGAGGGAGGATTGGAGCTAGCCTGAGTTAATCGTGCATCCACGCTCCATTGCCGATAACCTTGGAAGTCCTGACACGATGGAGAGAGTGCGATAACATACCGACAGAAGCAAGTCGTCGGGTTGAGTAGGCATGGTACCTGGTGGGTGTAGTCGACGCTGCTTTTGCGCAACAGCCGATGCTTGTGGTTGTGTAGAGTCTTATGCGGGATGTCGCGGTCTGCTGGAGAGAAGGCGTGCGCTCGGAAGGCGGTCGTAGTACTGTAGGAGATAGTCTAGGTGAGCAAACCTTGAGGGTGTGATGAGGAATAGGAGGATTTGGCGTAAGCGAGTGACTAAAGATTGTTGGGAGCTGAGATTCATTCGTAGGCTCAGAGCAAAAGAGAAAAGAAGATCTCGCAGTCTATTACGTTCAAAGCATTCTATGCGCCTGGTGATATTTGTTCGCGCTCCGCACCTGCTGTGCATACTAGCCAGCGCGGGCCACAAGCAGGCAGCCAACCCCAGCTTCTGGCATTAGCAAAAAAGAGAAGCCCACATCATGGATATAGGCAAAAAGATTGGGCATATAGAAGTGCTGACAAGAGTGGGATTCGAACCCACGCCCGTGAAGACTGCGGAGGATGTTTAGAACGACCTAAACGCAGCGCCTTAGACCACTAAATTGATGTTAGTACTGCGATTCCCAAGGAGTGGAAGTAACGTACCTCGGCCATCTTGCCATTTAATAACTTCATGGAGGATGGAACATTCTGTGCAATTATATACGTGGCAATCATTATGGTGGAGCTGCACTAAGAATAGGCGACGCACAGGCGAAGCCTTTGTTCGCAAGGTTGAGATACCCCACTCTAGACTGCAAACTAAGCGAGTAGATTCTATATGCAAATTCATAAAAACAGAATATTCATCGATATAATTATAGGCTTCTAATCGGCACCCTTAACGCATTGTGGACTAAGGTTGTTCGAGCGGGGCAATGATCAAAGTGCGGCTTCTGCGCCCTGCTTATTCATCTAGACTAGGTTGAGACTACCCGTAGACGTTGCCGCATTCTCCAAATTTAAACCCTTTGTCTCATTCCAATCACACAAGAGCTAATTTCGAGAATTTCCACGTATACAGTTCTATGTTCTGAATAGTTTTAACGCTAGACTTGGGTTTGTTCTGAGAGTTTATTATTTGATCGAGAGTTACAGAAAGAGCTTAGAGACTGCAAAGCGATATCTTACTGCGTGGATTACCTTCATTCCGAGCATGATGTGCCTTCTTTCAATCTCAATCCTGATCTATTTTTCTTCAATCCAGCTGCAACATCTTATGCCTCTTATTTGTTGTAGCAGCTGCAATGTGCTGCTTTTAATTGTTCTATTTCTGGTTGCCATTTATGCTTCGTCTCTTTCTCCTTCTCTTTCTCATACTGGTAAGCATACTTTTAGAGGTTCCTCAAGCTTTGGATACTGCAAGCATCCGAACACTTCTCGATGATCGGAACATTCCCACATCACAGGCGCCTGGAGTTAGGATGCAGCGTACGCTCTGAGTGCTATTGAACAGACGTAGCTACGTAGCAGCGCTTATCCGTTGATGCTCGTAGTATGAAGCGGCGTCGGTCCGATGACGATGATGGCACGACAAGAACAGACTTAGAGGATAGGCGCTCGGGATTGAAAGGTGTGCTGTATGTGCGCATGCCTTTTCGAGGAGATGCATAGTTGATGTAGACCCTGGAACGAAAGCGGTGAGGGCTGTGGTGGGGAGGTCTGGCGCGTCCAGTCGCGTTGTCGCGTTCATCGCGCGCTCGAAAAGTTCATACCAGTGCCTCTCAAGCCTCGCCGCACAGCAGGCCTCGACCACCCACCACTACCATCCCAATCCGAGTCAGCATGGGGGGGAAGCGGAAGAGCACCGACGATCCGAAGCAAAGAAGTATCGCATCTTTCTTCGCGAAGCGCCCGCGCAATGAGGCCTCGCACGACACCAATGACGACCCAAAACCGGTAGTAGCGTCCAGCTTCGTGCAGACGGCGCATGCAGAAACCCGAGCATTTCCCGTGGCTACGAGCCCCCTGAGCGATACCGAGACATCTGGCGTGGCTACAGTCAAGTCCGAAGAGGAAGAGGAAGAGAAGGATGAATATGAGCATGAAGTCAGCACCAAGGGGGCGGCGGTACAGCCATTCAAAGAACGGTGCACGTGGGTCTGCCCTTACAAGGCAAGCAAGCAGTGTAGCCACTCGCCAGGGTACTTCCCAACCCTTAGGGGGGTCTCACAACATGTCAGATTAGCGCATCCAGATATTGGGCTAGTAACGCCCTACGAGGTCGACCCCACCGCGGATGGCACACGGAAGATACCATGTCACAAGGGTTGTGGCGAAATGTTTGTCACTCACCAGAAAGCAGTGCAACATGCGAAGGTAAGTTGTGGCTGTGAGAAATGCATGTGAGACATATACTGACTTCATATCTTCACCTCTGTAGTTGCCAGAATGCACTGCAACCCCAGGGAAGAGTTTTCCTTGCCCCTGGAAAACGCACATCGGATGCGACAAGGAGTTCGACTCATCTACAGGCTTAGCAAACCACTCGCGTCGCCACGCAAAAGATACTCGCAGCCCGTACCAATGTAAAAACGATGAATGCGGTATATTTCATGCCGACCTCTACGACCTAGCTATGCACGAGGAACGATGCAAGAAAGGCCCACTATCTAATCGCGAAACCTCATACCGCTTCTCGTTAACCGCTGACGCTGCCAATGGCGCCCCTCCAAGTGTCATCATCATCAACCGATCTTCCAAGGCTCCGCCGCAGTGCTGGAAAGACGGTACAACCTCAATCAAAGAAGGGCTCCCGCAGCTTGGAAGAAAGTACCTTGCACACTATGCCTCGTGGCGGAGTAGCTATTCTGGTGGATCTGCAGTACTGCACAGTTGCTACGAGGCTGTTACGCGATACATTCCAGCGCCTGCGTTTGACAACAGCTTTCTCGGAGAGACACCCAGGCAAAAGGTCTTGCTCCACAGGGCCTTTAGGTTCACACAAGCTATCGTCCACGACATTGAAGCGGCCAATCAAGCTGGGATTAAGCCTACTATAATCTCAGTCGGCGCCGATGGTTGGTTCTGTAGCCAGAAAGCTATTCTTCCGTGGCTACAAGCTACTAGATTGAGCTTCGACTTTGTCGTACGACTCAGCTGCCTGCCTTTAGGCATAAGCGCCCAGCACGCCGATCTTCACTACAAAGTATGGTGGATTTTGTACGACGTGAAGCATATTCGCATAGCTCTTGAGTCTGGGCCTGGTCAAGATCAAAATGAGAAAGCTGACGAGCTGATTGCGGCCTGGAAGATGCTACAGGATAGCAAAGACACCTCCTTCGGTAGGAAGTACGGCCGAAATTACGTTGATCCGGACCTCAAATTCCCGCTCATCGAATGAGCCCGCCACGCCACGCCACGCCACTCCTCATGTTCATTGCCATCTATCTGCTTCTTTTCCGCGACATACTGCCATTTAGATCCCACATACTGTGGCTACATCCTCTCTATTTCCTACACTTCTGTCCTGTATCATGTATCGATTTCCTGTGGCTACTGCATTCTTTTATATAGCGACCAGATTCGGAGCATCTCGTTACTTTATTCCTGTAACATAGTATGAGATTGAGGCCGGAAAGGGAGGCGAGATAGTGACTTTACTCCCAACCAAGCCCCAGCTTTATTCGTAGCTCATCAATCCCAGTTCAGGTTATTGATGACTCTCCGTATGTGTTGCGCTCCCAGGGCCTCGCAGCCCGCCGAGCTATCGCATTCAGGTCTCCCGGCATGCAACTGCCTCATCTCATCGCTCCAGGAATGGTTGCCGTTATGCCAAGTCTCTTGCCTCGCTTCGCTCTCCTTCACCAAGTCCAACAGTGGTCGTAGGTTGCTCCCTCCGCCATAGATCTCCGTCTTGAGCGCAGTCTTGACTAATCTCCTCCAATCCTTTGCCTCAATCTCAATGTTGAACCCCATCGGGCAGTCAAGGGTACCGGTATGCAGATGTTGCAAAGCCTGGCTGTTGTCGCCGATACGAAATGGTTTCTTTTGATCAGTCACTTCCATGCGCGCGGCTTCGCGATCGACCTCATTCAGCACCTTGTTGAAGCGTTCCACTACCGCTTTCATCACAGACACTATCGACTGTACATTCTGGATAGCGGAATATGATTCTTTTGGACATTGCTTGCAATGTATTAGATCCGAGAGCGCTGACATTGCTTTCCGTAAGGGTATGATAACTTGGGGAAAGTGAAAGGTGACAACAGCTTGCAACTCGGTGAGAGTTAGCCATGTCGTTGTAAGACACGTGCACTGCCCTGAATCTGATTGATCGGGAACTGGGTCGGGAAGACTAGTTGGCTGGATGTCCGGTGGCAGGTCAGGCTGGAAATTCCACAGTGCTGGATCCAGGGGCGGGTCCAGATTGTACCTGCAACCTTAGCATTGGTCGAGACACATCAAGATAGCTTGACATACATGTTATCAGACCCAGGTGCCGTCCCAGACGGATCTTGAAAGGTAAAATCATAATGCTGTGGCGTCACGATTCCGCATCCTGCCGATCCATCTGATGATTGCACGTCTTGCAGAAGTGAGGGAGAAGTCAGATTGTCCAGATCTAACAAATTTGGAACACCGGAGAAGTCGTTCCAGACGTTGCTAAAGTCGTCTTGCACTACCGCGGGTGATTCCGTCATCTCGTCCGGTTCGTCCTCTCTCATCCTTTTTCTGGGTCTACCCATCTGCTTTTGCGGCGAATAAACACAATCGATCTTTTCTCTCTCGCAGCGAACACATCTTGGACTGTGGCCAGAGCATTTCAACTTTCGTGTCCCTGGGCATAGTTGAGCGTCGCGCGGGGCAGATGGAAGCCTAGCTTGAGGTACTCACGGCACTCATCACAAGCCGCATGCAGTTTTGCCGCTGGTTGCTTATGCTGCTGCACCATTGTATAGTGTTGTGTCACGGGGATGCTGAGACCAGAGAAGCAACAACGGTGAAAGTGGAGATGTCGAACCCAGTACCAGAATGGTGTTGCGGTTCAGCGTGAGATCGCGGATCGTAGTCCGGGGACGCCTAAATCTGCCAGCTTTGTATGCACATCCCCAAGAAGGATGGCTGCGCAGATTAGCCCCACCTTGATGACGGATAACGTGTTGAATTATCGAACATCGACACCTGGGGTTCGGGGTCCTTGGTTTCCACGCGTGTTGGGTAAGCTGTTAGATGGTTTCCTATTTCAACCTGCAACACAGCTATCCGCGGCCGCATAGGGCCGATTTGATTGTGTGTAACCTTGGAAAATTCGCGGTGACAGGCGGGTCACATGTGAGTTGTCACTGGTAGAACCAAACACAATAAAACCCGTCAACTCTGAAGGAAAAGCAGGTGCGAGCGCTAGCCAGAGAAGTGAGGCTACGTGTGACAGGATTCACGCCGAGCCGCTCTCATTGTCCAATGCGATGCTGTGCTGGGCTTTTTGCAGCAGGTCGGAGGCTGAGTACGGCTCCGAATATCGATGGGACGACTGTGCGAGCCACCCTGCGACCCAGCGCGCTGGATGTGGCAGACAACCTTACTGTTTCACACATTCTACACCGCTCTTGACGTGGTATCTTGGACTTTTCCCAGAGCCTACGCGCAATCGCGCAACTGCGCAGAAAATGTTAGTGAAGGCACTAATATCGCCAATCAATCTGAGAACAGAGGCGCATACCGCGCGCATCTGCCAATGTACGATTGATGGAAAGGGCGCAGCTGCTCCGCCTTCTTTTTCCATCTCGCCCGTCTTGGGTTGGCTCTTCGTAAGCACCTCCACCGGTTGGAACACAGAGTGCAGCTGACTGGGGTACCCCATGTCCGATGGCGCGCGCCCTATTGTAGAGGCGCACAAAAGCTGATGCCTGATTGCTAGTGGTCGCGACTCTGGAGGACGGTACTGTTACCATGGTCGCGAGGTTTGACGAGTTTTTTCAGTGGGTAGACACGAGACCCAAAGTTCTCCAGACGTCAGGAACAGACGCGATTGTACCTGGGATGCCATGGATAGGCCGCGCAACAGCATCCAAGGGTGTAATCGTGCGCGCTCTGTCGCGAACGTGATGCCAGGTTAGCCGCATCGGGCCCTAGGGCTGATGGAAGATGGCACCGGTGGGACAAGTCATTGGTTGGGAGCCACCGACACTGCTGCACCTTTTGTGAGTCACAGAAATCGGCCCTTCCTGCCGCCGCGCTCGCTTCGGGTCACTTTTAATCCCCCACTTCCCTCGCTGCCTGAATTTCTCCTTCCTACTCACCTCATCATACTACACCACGCAACAATACACAAGACAGTCACGAACAATGGCTGCCTTTTAACTTCCCGCGCATCTCGCCGTCCGCTAACCGCCGACTTACTAATACCCACCATCCCCACTTCCACTCCAACCTCAGAGTCTTCCTTCCCGGAACCTCTGAACTCAAGTCTCGCCTCGCGCAACTTCAGTTCGCCGTCTCCCCTCCCGTTCGACTTCACGTCGACCATCACGGCTTCTCAACAGTCATCATGGCTTTCTTCACCAGCTCCCCACGCCTCCCGGCAACCACAACATACGAGTCAACAAGCATTCGCCCATCCGCAGTCGGACTTCGTGCTCTACGATCAACCACAGGTCTCCCAGCGGCCTCTGCGAGCACCGAGCGCGCCTCAGCCTGGGCATACGTTTAACAACGGCCAGCACTTCTACGCAAATTCTGCCCCGTCATCTACTACAGAATTCCAACAGCCACGGTTACGCCAACGTCCTCCGGTTCCACTGTTCCCCAGCTCTAGCAACAACATTCCTCAACTGCACAACGTCCCAAACATGGCAGGTACGACGCACGCTTTCCCCGCTCTCGATCGCGAGCTCACGTTCCCCGCAGACTTGAACAGCAACAACTCCTTCGACTCGGGCGCAAGCCTGATGTCCAACTTCAACAACGGAGGCTTTTCTATGGACCAGGTGTCCGCATTCACGGCGATCAACGATCCTTCCGTTGCCGCCGGGTCTACGCGCACCGTGTCCCCCAAGGACATCTTCAATGATGGCTTTGGGTCTGCACCCCCTTCTACGGCGTTCACAAACTTAACTTCCCCTGATATTGGTGATTCCCCCTTCATCAACGATAGCTTCGAGTGCTCCCCGATGTTCAACGGCGAGCCTGTTATCTCCGACACGAGCGACTGGTTCTCCCTGTTTCCCGAACAGGAGACCAAGATTCCTGATACTGTCTATGCACCTGCTGTCTCCATGCCCATGGACCGCACTATCAGCAGCCAGTCTATGGAGCGATCTGGTTCTTCAAGCACCGGTTCCCCCCTCGTTTTGGACAACTACTCTCGACGCAAGTCATCTGTCACCAACTCACCTGCAACAAACGGCATCAGCAAGTCTCGTCGGCGCAAGGGTCCTCTGCCCAGCATCACCGTCGACCCTAGCGATAAGATCGCTCTGAAGCGCGCACGCAATACCCTTGCTGCTCGTGAGTCGCGACAACGGAAGTTTGACCACGTCAGCACCCTCGAGGCTCGCAACTCTGAGCTCGAAGCTGAGGTCGAAAAGTGGAAGAGCATTGCTATGGCTCATGGATACAGCGGACAATGAATGTCCTCGTCTCTCTCATATGGTTCCCGGTGGTCGTAAGGAGCTGGTGAAGAAACCAGCCTTGCCTTTCGGCAAAAGTTTTCCTATCCGTGTTGTTTCCCGCGGTATTTCCTTTCGCTTCTGTCGCCTCCCCGTCACTGGATGGGTGGTGTTTTCGCGCTTCTGTCCTTATGTTTCATCGCCGGTGTGCAGTCTCCCCCTTGTGGTTTTCGATTGACTCCGCCTGGTGCAGGTGGTAATGTGGTGTTGTTCGTTTCTGATGCACTCATAGTTGCGGAGAGCTTTCGTGCTGAAGTCTCCGGGATAGTCTCCTTATATATACATTTACACGATTCACGAATGACTCTTTGCCGCAGTGACTCTTGTGATGTTGTATGACTCAGCCTTGGCCAACTCAGACTGTGGCAATAGTGACTGTTGCCTATGACTCCCACTAACGCATGCAGATTAGAGTTGTACTCAAAATCGGTTACCAGTGCTGTGATTCTGACTATTTGAAGTCGTGCATAAAGCCTTAGCCTCAGTCGCCCACAAACTCAACCACTTGGTATCCGCCCTTTTCCCGAATGCTAGCTGCTTGCATGCTAGTTTCCATATCGCATGACCATCCCCGGCTTTGTAGCCACGTCAAGACTGCCTAGATCCACAGCGGATCTACGTCAACATCCTCAACTTCACCACCTCCAGCCTTGCCTGCAGCCCCGCCTTCTTTGTGTGCTTCTTTGCGCAGCTCGACAACGCTACCCACTGGCTTGCGTCCCGTAACGAGCATCGAGATGTGGTAGAGTAGGTCGTCAGGGCCTAAGACTTTGAGGTTCTTGCCCTCTACGGCCTTGTCGTCTGCTGGTAGGAGCTCGTCGTTGTACAGCACGAAGTCGCCTAAGACGTGGCTACCTGCCTCGTCATCCTCGTCCCCTTGATCTTTCGGACCCCAAACCTCAAGGTCCAGCTGGGTGAGCAGGTTGGGTAGATTCTTCAGAATCATGCTTGAGTCCTGCTTGCTGTTGAACGTGTCCTTCGTCAAGAGAGTTATGTGACGAATCCATGGGCTAGGTTGACCCCGGCGCTTCACACGCCCAACCTCCTGAGCCCTGATTGATTCGTTCGGCGGGGGTTCGTATTCGATAGTAGTACGGCACAGTGTCTGCATATTCAAACCCGAGCAAGACACCAGATAGGAGCAGATGAGTACCGCTACTAAGTGAGGGTCGTTGTTGAAGTCATTCAAGATTTTATCTTGCTCGGTCTGACTCAGATCCGTGCGGAGTTGGAACGCGGAGAATTTAAGGAGCAGTAGGACCTGTAGCCACGTATTAGCCTCTGTCTACCACACAGTTGCAACGAACAAAGCTTACCTGTTGGAGCCATTCGGCCTGAGCCGGATTGCTCACCCAAATCAAGACCTTTTCCTGCCTAAGTACCACAATTTCGGCGAGGATTCCCAAAAGCTTCCTCAGTTTAGGCGCTCCCTGGCAATGCCAATGAAGAATCTGCTGGACGTCTGATTCGATGTCTGTGTGCTTGTCGACCGGAATTTGCTGATCAATGGGCACACGCAGGCGCTTTTGGCCTGAGCGCATATCTTTGAGTATGGTGAGAGCCGTCATCTTTTTCTTGCGCTTAGCGGCCAACTTTGCGGCTTTGTAGCTGTCGTCAAGGAGGTATTTGAACCCAAGCCACGAGCTCAGTAGGCATAGCTTTCTGTAAGTCGTGGTGTTCCACTCCACGTTCTTCTTCGAAGCTGTCTTTGCGAAGAGCGTCTCTGAGGTCTTCGCTACCGCTGCATCGTAAAATGCTCGTTCGGCTGCATTGAACTCACAGTCGTACACCAAACGCTGCACAGCGGGAAGAGCGGCTCGCAGGGGTACACCGTTGATCTCGGAGGAATGAGTGCGGCGGAGCATAATCTTCCTTAGGACTTGTGACATCTTGGATCCCTGCTCAGCCATTGTAGGCGATACTATGGGGTTGAAGATGTACTTTACCATGGCCTCCTGACAGTACTTGAGAGGGGCACGCCGATCATCATCCGCCACAGTGTAGGGGTTGAACTTTATTAGAATTGAGTCGAGCGGGCAAGTGCCACCCATAGCGAAGACTGGGCTGGCTGGTTTGGCGAAGTCAGCATCGACGAAGCCGAGGGAGCGGAGGTAGTTCTCGTCTTGTAGAGCTGGGTTCTGGAGGAACTCCATCAACCCACAATACTCTTTTAGACCGTTGAACGTAGGGGTACCTGTTAGTATGTGTCTATACGTGGCGCCAAGATGGTTGATAGCCCATCCAATCTCGTCCGATTGAAGGCGAATTTGGTGACCCTCGTCGAGTATAATCCTGTGGATCATACCATACATCTGATGGGGGCAATTGACATCAATGCTCTTGTAGGAAACGCCTTCCGACGTCAGTTCTGCAGCGGCCTCTTTCTTGCTGATCCTTCGCTCTTTCGCGCGCTTGTCAACCAGCCAGTTCCATTGTACCTTTGGGCCGTGGCGAACAGCCCAGGTAGAGTAGCTGGTCAGGATGATGGTATCCGCATTGCACTCCTCACCGTTGAAAATGTCGTGGCTACGGGTGAGCCTGGCGGCCTTGCCTTTACCTTTGAGGTAGTAGACGTTGGGGTTCGCCGACTTCTTGGAAGGGCCGTAGTACACAAGGATTCTGAAGCGCTCTGTGAACTTGCAGATTTCCTCGAGCCACTGGGCAATCAGGTTTTGCGGCATAATGATTAGCGTTGGGCGCGCTTCGGGTACCTCCTCGCCATCTGCAAGCTTCTTCCGGCGTTCGTTCGAGCGGAATAGTAAGAGCCCGAGTGTTTCGAGGGTCTTTCCAAGGCCGCAATCTTCTGCGCATAGACCTCCATTTACACAGCCTTCTTCGAAGTCGACCATAGCGTTGATGCCGGTGGGTTGGTGAGCATCTAGGAAAATGTGCTTCATGAAACCTTCCATTCTTGGCTTCTCAGGGTTTGGGATACCCAGCCTGTCGCAGGCTTCCTCGTGATTCTGCCGTTGATACGCTGGGTTGTCTGTCCACTTCGTCTGTTCTCGGTAGGCTTGAATTTCCTCGGCAGTAATGGTCCTCAGCTTCGTCAGAGGTGGACCTCCGATTTCTGTGTTGTCGTTCCCTTCATTCAGCTCTTGATTGAGAGTGCTGAGTGTCGTCCCATTGATCGATTCTATCATGTCGTGAGAGTACTAAGCACAGTTAGTTAGAGATGGGTGATGATAATTTTCGTGGCTACAGCTTACCTGAAGTGCCTGTACGGCCTCTGATGCTTCAGCTTCCTGGACCTCGTTGCCTCCAAGAATGAGGACCATGTTGTGCAGGTCGACGCTATGTTGCTCTTTGCTCTCCACAAGCGACAGATTGTATCTCCAAAGGCGGCACTTGAGGTCTATTTCTGTAGCCTCAAGGCTTACAGCTTCCTCTACCATAATGGTGTACAGTTCTTGTCGGTTTTCGGCTGTTGGGGCTTCGGGTACACCTTCGGGGGCGGGCACCTCCTGCGGCCCAACTTCTTCGTGCTCTTCTTTGAGGACGATGTCCTCGGTTTCTAGCGAGAACCTCACCACCACATCGTCCTGCGCTGCATGGTTTTGCGCATCCTCGAAAGACATTCCTTTCGTGGCTACAAGAGCCTTGCGCCGCTGCTTGTGGGTACTTAGATCGAAACGTCGGTTTATCTCTTGCCAGAAGCCGTCTAAGCTGTAGCCACAGAATGACTCAACGACAGTTGTGGTGGTGGCGTTGGATGGCAGATCGGAAGGCTGACCTTTGGTCCACTTAACGACAGCCATACCAAGCTGTGGATCAGGCTGCTCAGCGTCGGGCTCAGCGTCGGGCTCAGCGTCGGACTCAGCGTCGGACTGATCTGATTGAGGTTTGGCGGATCGTGCGGCGCTTGTCTTTGACTTCTTCTTCTGCGATTTAGTGGTGGTCTTGGATCCTCTGGCGCGCTCTCGCTTCGCAAACAAAACATAATGGTATGCTGTTTGGGTCAACGTCTTGTTCTCCAAGCGCGAGCCGTAGAAACACCCGTCACGATCGACCTTGTTTTCTTTAACAAGCCAGTGTGTCAGCCAGGCATGCCAATCAATCTCATCCTCGTACTCGGGGAAATGTGAATCCTTGTCAAACCTCCTGCAGAGGTAGGGGTACGAAGTCAGTATATGTCTCACATGCACTTCGTACAGTCAGAACTTACCTGCGACCGTTTTTCTCTCCTTCTCTGATCCAGGCATACAGATTGTCGAAGTCGGCGACTTTCTTTCCGGGCCTGAAGAGGTCGGTGTTGATAAACTTGCTAACAAAGATATCCCAATACGGCTTAACAAACGATGACTGCCGCCACTCCTCAAATGCTGCCTCCGTGTCAAAGCAACCGAAAGAGGCGATGACCTTGTTCTTGTCCTCGTATGGTCTGCGCTTACGCTGTCGCTTCTTAGAAGAGGAGGAGCCGCCTCTCGCCATTCTAGCTAGTCCTGGCTGTGAGCTTGCAGGAGATGCCCAGGTGTGCGGTGGCTACTTGTGAGGAAGCACTGCTCGATGTGCGCGAAGTTGCCCAGGTGTGCGGTGGCTACTTGTGAGGAAGCACTGCTCGATGTGCGCGAAGTTGCCCAGGTGTGCGGTGGCTACCTGTGTGAGGAAGGTGTCGTTGAACGGTAGTCAGCTACCTGTGAGGAAGGTGTCGTTGAAGAGTAGTCACTGCTCGCGCGAAGATTTGCGGTGGCTGCCTGCGGTAAAAGCGGTCTGTGCCCTGCAAACGGGGCAGTGTTTGCACCACAACACTGCGATGACGTAGCCGTGTAGAGCTTCGAGCCAGCTTCACCGTGAGTTAACCTTTCCCGGGCGGTGGCCGCCGATTTATCACGCTCTGTCACCATATGAAACGTCTCACGTTATTCAAGAAAACCTTGGAAGTACTGAACACTGTGGGGCCTACTTTGATTTCAGGCCACCTGATTTGGATGTTTACATATTGATGTAGGCTCTAGGGTGTTCAGAATTGTCCTTCAATGCTCAGCTTCGGTTAGCCTGTGTCATGGCGTTGGAGAATTACTTGAGTATCGCCGGCTTCGGGAACTGTGACTTGCATGTCTTTCGGAAGACCCTTACGGATCTGGGTTGCTCGCAGATCTCTCAGAATTCGGCGAGCATCGCCATTCTTTTCACGGAACTCCTTTAGTTTCTTAATCTTGTAGTCTAGCTAATAGGCGAATCTAAGCTATAACGTTAATAGGCATAGGTTTTGGTATGTCGTGGTGCTCTAGGTGACAACGGATCCGCTCTTGCGAAAGAGAACAGACGAACTATCCGCATACGCTGCGTCGTAGTGTTGACGTTCCTGAGGGCTATACTCGCATTCGAACACCATGCGTTGGACGCTTGGCAGATCTTTGTCGAGTCTTCTTCCGTTCAGTGTGGATGCGTAGCTTCTCCGGACTATGAGACCCTTGAAAACATTGATGATGCGAGCGCCTTGTTCCGTGCTGGTGATACCCTTACGCTTCTTGGGGAAGGCCCAAACATTGAGAGCCTCCTGGCTGAACTTGAGAATAGCTATTGGATCGGTGGCTGTGATGTCCGTGATCTCGGAGAGTGGCGGGCCTGCGGGCATGTCTGGATCGTCGTCATGGTCGATCTCTGAGTCTCTGGGATTGCGATCGGATAGTAAGTTGCTGAGTTCCTTGAGTTGATGGGTGTACTGTGGTAGGTTAGCAAAGGCGAAGTCAAAGGTGAGAGAAGCTGCAGTTAAACCTACTCTGATAGCTTGCTCGGCATGTCTCCCTTCCTGCCCTCTCTCACCTATGTTCAGAGTGATGTGCTTGACCGGAACGTCTTGGAGGCTTTTGGACTCAGACTTCATCAAGTGATAATTCCACAGCCTAACTGTCATATCGAACTTGTTAGCGTGTTTACTCAAAGCCTCTGATACCATCTCCATCCGACGCCCAACCTAACTACTAATCCGCCGGTACAATGCTTGTATATGGCTGAGCGGACGGGAAAAGTCTGATAGCAGAGAAGCTGAATGATGGTGTACCTATACACGTTAACCTGGGGAAAAACTGAACAGGTCTGCAGCCTACATCAATATAGAAACCTACGCCTGCGCCTTCGTGTGTACTCCAGGCGTATACATAGTCCTTGTTGATATGAGCGTATCAACGGGAATATTAGCGAGTACCTCCAGGGTGCTTTCTGGCGTGACGTACGAAACATAAAAGATGGTTGTATTCGTCAACGTATCTTGAAACTGGGAGGCTTTCGACGAGATATCGAAAAGCCTCGTCGTTTGATCTATGCAAGAGCAGTACCAGCTACCGCTTTCCTTTGACCACAGCAGCAGAGTCGCGTCAGCCCGCTTCTATTATCATCGTGGATAGAAGCTCATCACATCCCCCAAAGGAATGGCAAGCTGGGACAGCAAGCATCCATGATGGCTTGCCAATCGTCGGAAGGGCAATTCTTGCGCATCACGTCGCCAGGACCGCGTTGCCATCTACCAACGTATCAGCTGTACTACACCGCTGCTCAAACTGCACAACAAGACAGCTCCCATCACTGGGAATAAACAAAAGTATGTCCCAGGACAATCTACATCAGCGCCTTGCCTTCCATCGAGCTTTCAAGTTTACTATGGCCATCACAGGCGACATACAGGCGATATACAGGCAGCGAATGAGGCCGGCATCAAGCCTGTGTTGATCTCCGTGGGTCTGGATGGCTGGGCCTGCGACGTGAGGATGCTGTTGCCGTAGCTACAGACCTCAGCACTCCAGTTCGAGTTAGTAATCCACCTCCAAAAGCTTCAGTACGGCATGACGAATCGCTTCTCCGAGGTACATGGTGACATTTACTGGTGGACATACCAAACTTAATCAATTCTGGAGGCCCTGGAGAGAAGCTCTGGCCGTGACGAGAAGGCCGACGAGCTTATAGCAGCGTGGAAGCTCCTCCAATCCGGAAAGGACGTCTACTTCAGCGTGACATGCGGCCGAAACTTCGTCAACACAGCCTCGCGATTTCCGACTATCGATTAGGGAAGCCATCTACGCCATCGCGTACCCGATTTCCTACTATCTATATGCTCACGTCTGCTCCTATGCGGTGTCTTCCTTACCCAGGTAGCCCGTTGTCGGTGACAGCTTCTTAGCCGCGTCACAAAGCCACAGAATCAAACAGCATCGCGCGTTCATTTTGACGCAATCAATTGTTAACGACATTGAAGCTGCGAACCAGCCTTATGTACGCATGACTTGGCAGCGAAAGCGGATACGCGAATACCCGTGTGGGATGCTGGCCGGCCGCCGCCCCACATGCAAAAAAAGAAACACCATCAAAACTTCAGCAAAAAAAAACTCTAAAAACATACAACAGCGGGGAAAATTCGCATAAGTAACGTACATACATACATAGCTAGAGTTGCGCTTAGATATAAAGTAGCTTATTTCTTAGTATAATTATTCTTTATTAACGCCTCTACTAAGTACGTAGCCTTTTTTAAGATCTTTTTACGTATTTTATAGTTAGTAACTACTTTCTTAAACTTAAGTTTCTCTATATAGAGGTAGTAAATATAGTACTCTAGTAGTTATTTTATTTATAATACTTTATATCTTATTTATAATTCTTAGGTAGAACTTAAATATAGTTTTAAAGTAATAATAATATTTACACATTATAAATTAAGTCTAGTAAATATTAGAAATTATATAGCTACTAGAATATATAGGTAAAAAGTCTACTTAAACTAGCTATATTAATTCTTTTTATCTATAAAGTTTTTAATAATTACTTTCTTAGCTATATTACTTAATACTAAGTAATATAAAGTAATATTAATATAAGAGTAGGCCTTTTATAGAATATTATACGTAGCTATAGTAGTAAATATATTTTATACTATAATAATAATCTTCTTTAAGTAATCTACTACTATACTAGAGAATAATTTTAGATTCTTTTATTAGCGCGCTTAAATATCTTATAAATAAGCTCTATTTATAGTAAGAATAGTTTTAATTAGACTATAAAGAGTCTTTATCTTAGAGTTATTACTATATATATTTTAGACCTTTTTACGTAGAGAATTATTATCTAGAGGTATAGTAAGGTAATTAATTCTATTAAGCTTTATATTTATATTAATCTATATTAAGTATTAATATTAGAAACTTATATTCTAGATAGTTAGATAATATTATATAACCTAACCTAGCGCAAGTATAAGTAGATCTAGAGAATTATTACCTAAAAGGTAATAATTTATCTATTCTTACTAGATAATATACTATTACTTTACTATCTCTTACATTCTATATTAATTAGTAGTTACTTATTTAATATTTAAATTATTTACTTTATAATACGCTTATATTATATAATATCTACTTATAATACTTATAGTAATAGTTATATACTAATAAATATTAATAATAACACAAAACTATTTAATGTAGTAGTATTAGCTATAGATTTATTAGTACTAACTTTTATTAAGAAAAAAGTATATAAGCTAATACTTTTTATATCTAAGATAGATAATAATATTAGTAATAGCTTAATCTTACTACTATTACTATAGAATTATATTCTTACTTCTAATAAAACTTAGAATATTCTAAAAGAGGCTATTCTAGACTAGAAGCTATAATGCCTTTATACCTAGAGAACTCTTTAACTAAAGCGTATTAAGCTAGCTAAGTTATAGAATCTTTACGCTAGAGTTACTATAAGTAATCTAACTATTCTTAAAAAGAATATAAAAGCGCTATTTATAACTTACTTAAAAAATACTCTCTTTACTAGAAGTCTTCTAAGACCTAAACTTTTATAGTTATTTTTAAAGACTAACTAAGTATAATATAATTACTAGAAGTAGAATTATAAGTTATACTTTCTTTATATACTATAAAGCTTTATAATAGAGATATAAAGAGTAGACTTTAGTACTATATATATCTTTAAGCTATTAAAAACTTTATAGCATATCTATTAAGTATTAGAGAAGTACTAGAACTCTACCTAGACACTATTATAAGTAGACCTTAAGTATATTATATTAAACTTGCTTAGTTCTTTATAAGAGCGTAAATAATATACTTATAATTACCTTAAGTGCACTATATAGCGTAGTAATTAGAATTCTATAAACTTTTTAGATTATATAAGGCTATTATAGAAGAAACTTAGATTAAACTAAATACTAGATATATAAGTACTAAAGTATACTATAGTCTTATAAAATAATATTAAAAAGAGCTTACTCTTACTCTTTATAAACTAACATTCTATACTTTTATAAGTAGAAAAATATACTAACTTTATTTTCTAATAAAAGTTCTATATTATAGAAAATAAGCTATAACTATCTAAGAAGAATAAGCTTTAACTTACCTAAGATTAATCTAATATTTAGAGTACTAGTAGACCTTTAAAAAACGCTAAGCGTGCTAGATTAGCTTAGAATAAGTTAAAGAGAGGTAGTTTAGGTAATAATAACGTATTTAAAAAGTAAATTATATACTATAAATATAGTAAAGTTAGTTATTATAAGAATAAATATCTAAAGGCTAATAAGTCTAATACTATAAGTAAGTCTACTAATAAGTCTAAGTTAGAAAAAGACTAGAGGTAGAAGAATTAATCTTCTACCTTACTACTTATATCTTTTTAAATAAGAAGAATAAGAATATAAAAACACTATATAAGACCTTATAGCTTACTTTATTCTAACTCTTAATAGTAAAGTTTACTCTTAAGATATCTAAGTCTAAAGAAGTAATAATTAATAGTAGTTTATAACTAAATCTTATCTCTACTATATTAGTAAAGAAGTAAGAATTAGTTATTAATTCTTTATCTAATCTTCTTATAGAAGAGGTTAATAGTAGAAAGCTTACTATCTATAAAATAACTAAAGTAAATATTACTATTACTAATTTATAGAGCTGCGTAAAGATATAGCGTATTTTATTTATAGTATCTAACCTAAATAGATATACTATATATTTAGAATTACTATAGATTAATTACTATAACTCTAGGTTAAACTACGCTTTATAGTATATACTCTTTAGAGATAATAAAGCTAAAGAGATTAGCTCTTTTTAAAAGATTATAGTAGAAAATATCTAATTATTTAAAAAGAGTATACGTAATTTTAGTATAAACGTATATATCTATCTAGTAGGCGTAGTAGGTTAGAATAACCTATCTTTAGCTTAAATAAGTAATATACCTTTACTATATATAGAGTTTATTAATATTTATTCTAAGAAGAACTTAGTAATTATTACTAAGTATAGCCTATAAGACCTAGCTCTAAACTTAGAACTTAGAATAAATCTACTATATATACTATTATATAATTTTTCTTAAACTAAGTTAGAGCTTCTTAGAAAGTACTTAGAAGAGTATATAGTATAAGAGTAGATAAGATACTTAAAGTTACTAGCTAGCGCACCTATTCTCTTTATTAAGAAGAAGAATAGCTTTATAAAGCTATATATTAACTATTATAGCTTAAATAAGATTATAATTAAGAATAGATACTTACTACCTTTAATTATAGAGTTTTTAGACTACTTAGTATAAGCTAAGTACTATACTAAGCTAAATATATAAGAGGCTTACTATAGAATTTATATCTAGAAAGAAGATAAGTAGAAAACTATATTTTGCACTTAATATAGTTATTTTAAGTATACTATAATACCTTTTAGCTTTATAAATGCACTTACCTAGTTTTAGATATATATTAACTAGACTCTTATTAG